GTTGAGATTAGAAGCTGGAATAGAGAAAGAGCAGTAATCTCCTAAATATAGCCCTTCTTGTAAACTGCTTTAATTTGATCAAACTTGCAATCTTTGAAGAAAGCATGCACATTTTAAATATCAATTAAACAGTCATGAAATTTTATATAAGCAGAGCTTATTTTACTTCCCATTACATAATACGCTGGCTAGTAATAAATTTGTTCAGTCTTAGAAATTTCGAACTTCAATAAAAGCATTTACGTAACTTTTTAATATTGAAAACTTAGCAATTAGTTTTATTACAAATCTCCTTATTTTTTCTAAAAAAAAATGAAGATACTTTTAAAAGACACGATACAATTTTATTAATCCCATGATTGCTAATTATGCTTTAAGTTTTAGACTGGATTCTTTCTGCATAGTTTAAATCTGTGCATATTACATGAAAATACGGTATCGGACGAGAGGAACAGACGATTAAAAAAATACTCTACTGACACTTTGTTCTTTTCGTGCTTGTTATATAACTTCTTTACATTTTGTTTTTCTTTCCTTTTAAGAATTTTAAAGATTTTTAGTGAAAATTGCGATTTAGAGTTAAAATTAACTATTGGAACTTTAAGATAGAACTGCATTTTCATCTTAAAACACTAACTTTAGGATGTTTAAACGCTAAAAATATTACATCAGGCAAGGTATTACGAAGGTGCAATTTGAAAATAAAAAAAATAAAAAAACCAAACAATTTGAAAAGGTACAAAATGCAGTACTGCACCTTTTACGGTAATTTGTAAACTTTAAATATTTGTTTCTTTATAGATAAGCATTTCATTTAATTATACTAAAAAATTACGATTTCTTAACAAACTTTAAAAGATTTTAAGCTCTGTTTAGCACTTTATGAAGGAATTATTTTGTATTCGCTAAGAAAAAAAATGTTCTACAGACCAATAGTTTACTTTTAAAAAGAAAAATTTAAAGTTTAGACAAAAATGAAATATTAGTAAACCAAACGAAAATTTTCGAAAAAAATTTAACTTTATAATTTTTTTTTTGCGAAATTTTCTCTACAACGTTAATTTTAAGTTTTTTTTTTTACTCAATTCTGCATAATGTTTGCTGCTTTATAGAAATTTAAAGAAACTAATTCCACTACTGAAGCAACACGTTAGTGTTAGATGTTAAGGTAAGTTAAGTGATTAGTAAATTAAGAATTATTTTGTTACTTCAGAAGCAAAATTAAGTTACATTAAACGTCCTAAAAAGTATGAAAATTTGCTAAACAGAAATATTGGAATTTTATTTATCTTTACATATAAAAACGCTATAGCCTTCAAGTACTTTAACAAAAAAATACTCAATCATTAAAAGAAAAAATTAGTTAATTTGTTGAAATATTTTCCCTTTCTAACACGTTCATGTCTACAACTTTTTTAAATTATCCGGATAATATATCCAGACTTTTAAATAACAATTATCAAAGTAACCGCTTGTTTTTACATAAATTTTTTAAATTTTATATTCGGCGTTAACTACACTAAGTCATATAAACCTTGTCATGAGAGTTCGTATATTAATTATTTTAACTGAAAGCATGTAGAACAGTAAAAATATGCGAAATTAAATTTAGAAAACCTAGAATTTGAATTTTTTTCCCTTTCAATAAGCACCTTTATAATACCTACGTTTCGCGAGTGCAATTATTATGCTATTATGCTCTGTCTGAATACCTTCCTTTGTTTTTCAAAAATTTACCTCGCTTTATATCTAGTTTTGCACACGAGAGTTTTAAATTAATGTTACAGTCAGTATACAAATTATATATTTTTCAAATGTATTTAAAAAATTAACTTTAAATTGAAATTTAAGTGATTTAATAAAGTAATGTCGCACATAATTTGTGTGTGTATTCACTGTCCATGTTTAAGTTTATTTCAGTCCAGCTCTTGATTCAAAGTTATGAATCCGTGAAAAGTGCAGAGGAGGATATATTGAAATATCATTTCTCACAATTTTGGTGTATAGATTTTAGTGTGCATCCGTTTAAGTTTCGTTAAAGGATTTATTTACAAAACTTAATACATCAATAAAGAAGAAACGAAACTGAGAACTTGTTTAGAGATTTTATTTCTGAATGTTCTAACATGAATACTAAAAGTCAATTTAAATAGTTTGTGAACTACTGTAAAACAAAGTTCATAAATTATGCAATTAGAGACAGCAATAACTGTTTAATTTAAGAGTTTTTGTATTTAAGTAACTTTTTCGAAGTTTGAACGTCAGTTTTTTCTTAAAATTAAATTGTGCCAAAATTTACCCTCCAAATAAATATAAATTTAGAAAATTAAGCTTAGATCATTCTAAAGCACTCTAGCATTGTAGTACGGAAGCTATAGTACGACCATTTCTACACTTTTAATTGAGATTTATTCACTTTAGTTTACATTGTATAAAGCAAATTGTATTGTTTTTTGTAAGTATCATAAAACTTAATTAAAATTTAGTTTATTTTGAATACTAAATTATTTTTTTTAATCCAGCTCTCATTTCAATTTCTAAGTTACAATATCTCACTCTGAAGACATGAATTTCTAAACATGAAGAAAGTTCTAAATTAAAGTACGTCAGAGCGGAGAGTTTACGTACAGCAAGGGTACAAGAGGGAATTTGAAAAATCGAAACAACTGAACGAGTGTAGGGTTCGAAGAGGGAGCAGAACTGCCGCTACCAATTCAAACTCCACACATGTTCAGAAATTTCATAATTTTCCGTCCTATGCAAGCTTTTTTTGTTAGCGATATATCAAACAGAATCAAACAGCTCCAAATCGAACAGAAAAATTTCGAAGAATTAATAGTAATTAAATTGAGATTCGTAGACTTCTAAACACTATTAAGTTTTAAACTCTAATTTTAGCAGCGCAGAGAGTTTTCGGTTACTCTTTTTAAAGATGTCAAATTGCGATTGTAGATTTGAGTAATACACCGATGATTAATTTGTTCAGTATTCCTGCTATCAAATTAACAGTCAATATTTTGTGCGCGTGGGAGTGTGATACTACTTTCGCTCTAACCCTCCCCACCCGCTTCAAGAAGATCTATACAACTTGATTTAATCCTCGTGTTTCGTTTTAAATTAAGAACAGTAATCGTCCCTTAATTTGGCTGTTTATTTTCTAAAATTTGGCTTATCTGTCAAAGCAAACTACGTTTGCGTAAAAAGTACTTAAACGCTTAACTTCAATTTCACTGTGTCCCGCAGTGGACTGATCGTTAAGACACGGTTCCCAGTAGATCACCGAAGTCAAGCATCACTGGCTACGGTCAGTGTGCGGGTGGGTGACCACTTGGATTAGTCTGCGTAGGGAGCGAGGGTGTGCGGTATTGGTCCTCGTTAAACTGAGCTACTGTAAAGTGCTCGACTTCGCGAGCAGGTCGTCGGGCTACCGAAGCGGGGGTGCCATTCCCTCCGCAGAGGATCAAAATTGTGATGGCATGTCTTCGGATCAACCTCCGGGATGCTTTCCAGACCATCGCCAATAGTTTATTGTGCAGCTCTAGTGCGACGTTAATTAACAACAATCAATCAATTTCACTGTAACTAAAATTTCGGTCAACTTATTCTATTTTAAAAAGTTACAACTCATACCTTTATTAAAAATAAGAAACATTGCCTACCTATTACAGCAGGACACAATTTGCGCTTAACATCTCAGGCATACAGATTTCCAGAAGAGGTAGAATTTCTATAAGATTCTTAAATCAATGCTACAGAATGAAACATAAAATTCTATCATTTGCTAACTGATCTAATGATGGGGTTGAGCTACGAAGCTGGAACAAAAAAAATAGCAATAATTTCCTAAATATAGATTAAATAGTAATTTCCTAAGTGTGTACAGTCATGTAAACTGCTTTAATTCGATTAAATTTGCAATTTTTTGAAAGCAGGCACATTTTAAATATAAATTTAACAGACTTTCCATTACATGCTGGCTCATAAATTTGATCAGCCTCTTAGAAATTTTGAACGTTAAAAGCATTTTCGTAACTTTTTAATATTAAAACTCAGCAATCTGTTTTATTACAAATCTAGTTATTTCTTAAAAAAAACATTGAATAGAGACTTTTCATAATAAGACACGATGCAATTTTATTAATTCCCCGATTGCTAATTAGTCTTTAAATTTTAGACTGGATTCTTTCTGCATAGTTGAAAATAGTAAAAATCTGCATATTACAGGAAAGTATCGGATGCGTGGAGCAGACAATTAAGAAAATGTGTACAGTCTTCGTAAACAGCTTTATTGGCATTTTGTACTTTATGTTCGTGTTTTATAATTTTACATTTTGTTTTTATCTTCTTTTAAAAATTTTAAACCTTTTCGGTGGAAATTACGAATTAAAGTTCTAATAGTTAATTTTAAATCTTAAGATCGAACTGCATTTTCATCTTAAAACTAAGTTTAGTCTTAAGTTAGTCTTAAAAACTAAAAAATTACATCAGGCAAGATATTACGAAGGTGCCGTTTTAAAATTCAAATAACTGGGGAAGGTACAAAATGCAGTACTGACCGATAATGAATTCTTAAATTTGAAGCATTTTTTTATTTATAGAAAATCGTTTAATTCAATTATATTTTTAAAAAAAATTACGATTTCTTAACAAACTTAGATTTTTAAACTGCTGTTTAGTACTTAATGAAGGAATTCACGATTCTATATTAGTTAAAAACGAACTGTTCTACATACTAATATTTTACATTTCAAAAAAAAGCAAAAAAATTTTACATTTAGGCAAAACTGAAATTTTATTAAATCAAAATTTTCTGGGAAAAATCACATTTTATAAAAAAGTGTTCTTGAAATTTTCTTTATAGTTTCGATAGTTCTTTATAGTTCATTTTAAGTATTTTACTCAATCCTGCATAATATTTGCCGCCTTATAGGAATTTCAAGAAACTCATTCTACTACTGAAGCAGCAAGTTAGTGTTAGATGTGAAGACGTCAAGGTAAGTTAAGTGATTAGTAAATTAGGGATTATTTTAGCTACTTCAGCAGCAAAAATAAGTGACATTAAAACGTTCTAAAAAATTATGAAAAATTGCCAAACAAAAATATTTATCTTTAAATATAAAAACACTATGGCCTTTACTTTAACAAAAAAACTCAATCATAAAAAAGTTTAATTTGTGAAAATTCCCCCCTCCTAATACGTTAATGTCTACAACTTTTCCAAATTATCCAGATAATATCCAGACTTTTAAGCAAATCATATAAAAACAAGGAGTTACTTTGACAAAAAATTTTATTTAAATTTTATGCTCAGCGTTAACTACACCAAGTCTATATAAACCTTTGCACGAGAGTTCGTATATTAATTATTTTAACTGCAAGTTAAAGTATGTAGAACAGTGAAAATATGCTCATTTATATAATTAGTAAGTTTAGGAAACCTAGAATTTGAAGCTTTTTTCCCCTCCATTCAATAAGCACCTTCATAATACCTCCGTTTCGCGAGTAAAACCTCCCTCTATTTTATTCTGTCTGAATACCCTCCTCTGTTCTTCAAAAATTTACCTGGCCTCTAATCTAATTTTGTACACTAGTTTTGAATTTATGTTACAGTATACAAATTATATGCTTTTTCAATGTATTTAAAAATTTAATTTAAATTTATTAAAGTACTCAATTTTTATTTAAAATGTCGCACGTTAAGATTTGTGTGTGTTCACTGTCCTTTTTTAAATTTATTTCAGTATAGCTTGATTCAAAGTTACGAATCCGTGAAAAGTGCGAATGAGGATATTTTGAAATTTATTTTATTTCTCATAATTTTGGTGTACAGATTTACTTACAAAACTTAATACATCAATGAAGAAGAAACTAGATGCGAACGTGTTTACAGAGATTTTATTTTTGAATGTTCCAGAGCATGAAGGCCAAAAGTTAAATAGTTTGTGAACTACTGTAAAACAGGTTTATAAATTATGCTATTAGAGATAGCAATAATGGTTTTTAATTTAAGAGTTTTGTACTTAAGTCACCTTTTAAAAGTTAGAACGTCAGTTTCTTTGAAAATTAAACTTAGCCGAAATTTAAGAAGCTCCAAATATAAATTTCAAAAAATTTAAAGCTTAGATCATTCTTAAGTACTCTTTGCCGTATCGAAACTATAGTATGTCCATTTCTATTCATCTGTGATTTATTCACCTTATTCCGCTTAGCACAAACCAAATTCTTTTCTTTTTGGTATAGGAGATCCTGACCGAAAAACCCATTCTACTTCACGCTAATATGAACCAAATTATCTCTCGTAAAAGAATAAACTAAAAACTAATATTCCAATAAAATTATTTTCATAACGGAAGTTAAATGTCAAGAACAAATGTTTTAAAATAGTGGTATCACGGTGGCGGCAGTTTATTAATTTAGTTATTTTTACTTTTAAATGGCGTGATACAATTAAGTTAAACGACGAGAATAGTTCAGGAAAACTGTGTGCCTGAGGAAGATAGAAGTATAGCAGATAATTTCTTTGCATTTAACAGAAACGTACCTAAAAAATTTTGGCAGAAATTTCGAAAGTTACCGCAGAATGCTTCAAAAACTAAATCTTTGGAAAAAACATTAAGACTAAAACTTTCTTGAATACCTTAAATTTATGCAAAAGTTTATTAAAGCCAAAATCTAATTTTTTTAACAGAATATTTTTACCAATCAAATTTTTAAATAGTTAATTTACTTTTCAAAAGCAAGAGAAATTAGCTTAGAAAATATTTGTATCAGAAATAACATCTTACAGATAACAAATGAAATTTGTAATGAAGATGCAGGATACAAGGAAACAAGTCAATAAAATACAAGGAAACCAGTTAATTGAATATAAATTTTGAAGACCTGAACGCTCCAATTGAGACAGATATGTAGCAGATAAATTTCCACGAAGTTTGTACTAGAAGGAACACGTGAAGTCAGTAGTAATTTCTAGCAGCCATTCTGAAAACAAAAATATTTGTTACTTACTAAGAAAGGAAAAATTCTAAATCTTTAAAATTAGTGATCTGAATGCAAAAAATTGTGGCTACGACTTTACACTTAGGTGCAGTGAAACGCCATACAGACTTCTATAAGTTAAGCTGCTTAAGTACGCTAATTATGTTCTTTTACGCCAATTTCAGTAGTTTGTTGCTGCTTTATGAAACTTTATAATTTCCTTAAGACACGATACACATTAAAGTCTTACTTTTTACGATAAGATATAAAGCAAGAATCATTCACTTAGAATGTACGTATACAATATTTCTTAAAATTTGTTAAGCAAACACAACATGGAGAGAATTAACCCTAACAAGGCTTAACAAGCTCAAGGTAAATAGAAATATAAAATTATTTAATATACATATTTACCTAAATTTTCTGAGAAAACTATAACTAAAAACATTTTTTTGTTTTGTGGAATGCTTAAGAATATGGAAATCGAAATTTCACCTTCTTTTAAACAAAAAATATCGATCCGAGAACTTGAAAATTCACGACAAGATCTGTGAAAATATTCTTGATTGGAATGAGTTTGTAACAGTTTTATCATTTATTGATTTAAAATTAAACCTTTCTCAAAGTTTGTATGAACGCACGATTTGGTATTAACTGCAAATAACACAATTTTAAGAATTTTTCATCATATTCGGATAAATATTCTAAGACAGGTCTTGCAGTAAAATTATATAATTTGGGATTTTGCTCAATTTATATGAAAAATTGAAATGTAAATGAATGATTGATTGAATGTAGAGGTTTTATGGCACAAGATCCAAAGGAGGATATGATACTCCAAACAATTTGTTGAGTCAGATCTAATGGTAAATTGCACAGAACTATTTCATTGTCATAAAATAAATGAGACTAATAAAATTGTTTATCTCAAGACACGTATTTTTAAAAGTTCACCAAAATCGATAAATAGCGCAATTCTATAAAATACACATTAAAAGTAAAACGGTGAAATGTAAATGAGATGATCCTTAAGCCAATGTAACATAGAGGTAAAATTCATCTATCATAACTGCTTCTCTATGGGATAATTATAAAATTCTGAAAGAATGCATATAAAATAAATCTTGAAAAATTTAAATTAGCTGTGGAAATTTCTTAAAATTTAATTCAACATTGCATGTTATGTTAACAAATTTACTGATTTTCCGCACCATTCAAATTTAATTAAAATTGTTTAGACCAGGGTTGACAAGATTTCACGCAGAATTACGCAAGGTAAAATGCTTTTTTTTTCTCGTCCAAAACACTTCCGTCTAAAACTAAATTACAAAATATCAATTAACCAATACTATAAGAGAGATTTCTGTTTAAAGATTTAAAATGACTCCAGGTTTAGAAAGGTTCGCCTATAAATATGATTCTTACTTTATATTATATCGTGTAAAGTTAACTTTTCTGACTCTTGTGTACCTTATGGACTATAATTGCAAATTTTAGTGTTACTAAATAAAATAAAAAATAATGGCGTCTACTTTACACAAAGTTCTTTGTTCTGAGCCGTGGGGGTTTAGGGGTTAGAGGGTTCGCCTTCCAATGAGGTGAACCGGGTTCGAATCCAGTAATGGCTGGTAGACACGAATTTCGTACAAGGCTTGCCCAACCGCAGCGCTGATTTAAAATATCTTGAGTGGTAGACGGATCATGGGTTACAGTCCCCTTGCCGTCAGGCTAACCGTGGGAGGTTCTTTTGGTCTTCTCCATGTGACGCAAATGCGGGTTAATTGCATCAAAAAGTCTTCCATGAAAGCAAATTTCTCCCAATACTTGCTCCAAAAGTTCCCTCGTCTTCTGGATTGGGTTCAAAATTACAAGGCTACTTAGTTTAACATTAATAGTCGTAAACCCAAAAATTGGGTCGGCTGTTCAACGACGGTTATACAATATAAAATTAAAGGAAGCTTTAAAAAACTAAAAAACTTTAAAAAACTACTAAATGGGGGAGCCTAAGAATAGTCACTAAAAATTATTGAATACAAAATAGTTTTGCTATTTGTCTAACTTATCTAGATTCTTATCCGCACGCTGAAGCATATGTGAACATTTAATAAATATTTAATATTAAATATAATATTCCTTTATATAATAAATGTTATAAATTTTTCAATGGTCAATATATTTTAAAAATATCGCAGAACCAAGTATGAACACATAAAATTTTATAATTGTAAAAAATGTAAATATAGCTGCTGAATCACCCTTTCAAAACTAGTGTAGTTTTAATTTCCAAAAACCTTTCTGACACGTTAAGAAACTATTTACCGACCAATTAATCAACAAATTATTGAAATTGAATAAGTGAATTACTCACTTAACGTTAATCACCCTAACGGAATTTAAATTATTAAAATGAAACTTCATAAATCTAATTTATACGAGTTTTTCATACTATTTAGAGTAATAGAAGCTGTGTAATATTCAACAATTCAATTAATCAAAAATAATTTATCAATATCCAGGGTCAAAATGTAAGTTAAGTAGGGAAAAAAAACTCACCCTTTTCTTCATATACACTTTAGATGCATATCCAGCCAAATATTTTCATTGTCTCGTCTCCAGATAAATCTACACATCTAGCCGAATATTTCCACCATCATTATTGTAGTCGTATCACCAAATAGAGTGAGTCTTTCCATGCATTTAGGCAAAAAATTCCACCATTATTATTGTAGTCGTATCTCCAAATAGAATAGGTCTTTCCATGCATTTAGGCAAACAATTCCACCATCATTATTGTAGTCGCATATCCAAATAGAGTAGGTCTTTCCATGCATTTAGTCAAACGATTCCACCATTATTGTAGTCGCATATCCAGATATATTCTCCATAAAACCAGAAATATTTTCCATGTAATCTGAATGAATATCTGTAAAAGATTGATATTACTTGAAAAAAATTAAAAATACTTAAAAATGTCAAAAAGAGAAACATTTTGAACTGTTCAAAAGTTTGCGTTTTCTAAATCTACGTAATTGGAACAAAAATACAAAAATCAGAACTTTTCATACATTTGAAAAAAAACTAAATAAAAATTGCTCTGATATTAAACTTCAATAAAGTTTTTAGAAAAATTTTAGTCCTTCCAGCATTATCCCCACAATTATTTCCAAAAAGTTTTCAAATTGTTTCTTGTTGGTTTACGCACTAGAGTTGTATAATCGACTATTGGTAACAGTCTGGGACACATCCTTGAGGATCATCACAATTTTGATCCTCCGCAGAGGGGATGGCTCCCCTGCTTCGATAGCCAGCCAGAACAGTTTAACGAGGACCGATACCGCACACTGTCTCTTTGCAGGCCGATCAAAGTGGTCACCCACCAGCACACTGACCGCAACAATTAATGCTCGACTTCAGTTCTATTGGGAATCATGTCTTGACGATCAGTCCACTTCGGGACTTATTCATGATTGTACAATATGTCTTGATACATTTATGAGAAGCACAACGTTATTAATTTGTTTTAGAAATGAACGCTACAAGTACCTGCATTTAAAATGAAACACTGCGTAAAATAAACTACCAGAGTTCGAAATAACAGAAATGAATGTTTTATTTGGAAACTCACAAGGGTCATAATATATTTCTAGAAATTCGATTAATTGAACTTAAAAATTGTGTTTACTTTTTAATTTTGTTAAAAAATTTAGCACTCTTTGCATAATGTAGGATACTTTTATGGTGTATTTCTTTGTATTCTGGTAACAAAAAACAAATTTACTAGACTTACGATATGCATGGCATAAAATTGACCAAAAGGTAAATTTACTTATATTTAATTTTTGTGAAGTCTTTATTATGATTAAGATTTCCAGCTATCGAAAGTAAATACAAAAATAAGTAAATAAATGCTTTGTACAGACATACAAAGAAAACAAAATCCTAAAATTTTCAGCAATAAAACTGTACCTAAAGTTTTTCAATATAGTGGAAGTGGGTTTTAAGAGGTTTTTTAAGTTGTGTAATAATTTGTGTTTTTTTCATAGAGACTAAACCCTAGATTCTGTTTTGTGTTTATAATCAATACTAAGTCTCAAACCTGTTCATTTATATAAAAAGTTCAAACTATACTCTTATAAAATCCATTAAGGTATCAAAATACACAGAGTGGTTAAAATTTGTATACCATACTCACATTTTAATATTCAGCATTGGATAGGAGCTTGCAAACTTAATTGTACGGAAAGTAGTACAGTTTGATAAATAATTTAACTTAAAAAATAATCTGAAGATAAAAGTTTGAAATGAGTCTTTAAGGCTTTGTAGAAATAGTGTTAAAACACTAAATGCGAAGTAGACTAGTAAACAATGACATTACCTACTTTCTCACAAACTAAATGAAACTAACAAGAGTGGTGGATAAATTGTTAAATTTCCGGAGGAAAAAAAAATTATTGCATTTCGTAGGTCCGTACGTGCTGCATACGAAACTTATGGTTGCCGGTCACCAATACTTAAAAAATTAGATTTGGAAAAAATATTTGTTTAACTATACTGCTATCATAGCAGCAAATGAAATTTTAATTTTTAAAGTTCAATGAATTTCTTTTCATGAAAAAGCATCCACGAACGTTACTAAAAAGAGATTAAATATACTAAGTTATGTAAAATATTTAAATCCTAATATTATGATCTTTTGTTCCGAATAAACAATTATAAAAAGTAATTTTTAAATAAATAGTTCAACTATACGATAACAAAAAGCAAAAGTTTGAAAATAACAAGCATAATTAGCATAATTTTCTTTTAAATTTTAGCAAAAAAGAAAAAACAATTTTTGTATATTACAAATTGCTAAAATTGAATAATTTACAGAATTTTAACATAAAATTCAGTTAATCGATAACGTATCTCAAACGCTTTCAAGGATTCTAAAATTAAGTATTATACCTACTTCATATAAATTAAATTCTGAAATACGATGCACATATGAACGCTAGCATTTAGAATTAAATATTTCAAGCGCAACAAACCGTTTAGGTGCGTTTGCTTTGGAAAACCTAGAACGAAAAGTGCTACGTGTAACTTTTTATTGACTACTTATTTTAAACTAGTTGAACTGCTACGAAATCTAAACCGGAATACATTAAACTACTTTATAAGTATAATCAGGCAAAAATTGGTAACCCAAACTCCGTCTGGTTAATTTGAAAATTACTAAGCGCAATTATTCATGCATTAAAATAAAGAAAGTAAACTTACCTGATCGAATCAAACTTCACAATTGCAAGGCCCACAAACTTCAAATCATAGACGTATTATTTACTTATGTTTGTATCACCGAAAAATCGACTCGTGGGCGATGAAAAATTAAATAACGCACTCTTATATAGGTTAAAAAAAACTGTGCGTGAGATTACATCCGGCTGCTAGTTTTTGCTTAATAAGTGAAATTTCATATGGACAGAGCCTCTTTGTCATAGTGGTATTTTCTTTCCACCAAACGTTGTGAAAGATAGAGATAGTGGGTTTGAATCCAGCCGTAACCTGATAGTAATTTTTGACTGAACTTCCTTGTTTTCTGATATCTGATTTTCAACTTTACAAGAATTTATAAGGCATTTCTTTGTATATAAGCTCATAAGCCTGATTATATATGTACTGGGGCCTCCCTGGCAGAGCAGTATCACCCACCAAACGCTGTGCAAAGCGTGGAGGTAGCGGGTTCGAATCCCGTTGTTACCCTGGATGGATCTTCGTGCTGTCCTTCTCTGTATTGTGCTATCTGTCCTCCAATTTGACAAAGGTTTATAAGCCTAAATTGAGCACACATGCCTGTAAATGTATGTAAATCCTATAAACTAAATAAATATGTATGTACTATGAACAACTGCTTGGGGTCTTCATGGCCACTGAGTATTGTTAATCCACTAAACATTCTGAAGCTTAAAGGTCGTAGGTTGGGTTCCCACTGTAATACTGAATATATTTTTCATTCTTACTATGCGATTTTAATTAGTAACTTGTTGTGCCCTGTTCTTTCTTTTGAATTAAGCACATAGGTCTGTATTTATTTATTTATTTGAATGCATATCCAGGCTTGTATGCTCATCACAAAGTACGACTTATAAGAGCATGTCAACTGGAAGAACAGATAGTACAAGTAAGAAAAGGATTTCATAAAGATACAGGATTGATATCAAACGGATATCATCCAGGTTTAGGACAGGATTCGAACTCGCCACATCCACGCTAACCGAAATGGCTAGACCACTCAATCAGGGAGGCCCTCTCTCAAATATGTAAATTTGTGAATTTGTGTCGATATTTCCCCATTTCAATTGAAAAAGAGGCAGAAAATTAATATATTTGTGCATCAGCAGAAAAAGTTATGCTATGAAAATGAAAAAGCTACAGTTTATGTGCCTTACACTTGAAGAAAAACGATGATTTTAAACTATATATATATCATCTTAGGGCCGGGATTGCCTGGTTGGTTGGGCACTTGGCCCATGTTCGAGAATTCGTGGGTTCGATCCCAGGCCGGCCAAAGACTCCCCGAATAGTAAATGGTGACTGATGCACGTTAAATCTGTCGAGTCGCAAAGTCCTCCATGTTCCCACAACAAATCAATACCTCTGGGGGTACTGATCCAGGAGTTTCCTTGTCTTCTGGATTGGTTCAAAATTACAAGGCTACGGAGTTGAACATTAGTAATCGCAAACCCAATATTGATCGGCTGTTCAAACGGATATAATATATATATCATCTTGCTGTGAAAAATTATCTGGGCCTTAGAACGAACGAATAGTTCAAATACTTTGAAAATTATTAAACTTACTTAAAAATCGCCAATTTAATAGACAATTGATGAAAATTATCAAAATCACCGCCTTATTCGCAGTTTTTAAAAATTTTTTTGAGCTCAGATAATGCAGCATTAGAGGAAGTTTTTAAATATTAAAAAAGAAATTAAACCACAAACGCATTTCATTTTGGCAAAACTGCAGCTTTTCTCTGTATTGACGTTTTGCTAAAGCCTTAGGAAGTTTAGAATTTTGATTTAGAACATTCTAAACTTGTCCTGGCAGTCATTAGTAACTGTTACAAACTCACGGCAGTTATAAAAATAGCATATTATTTGATAAAAAAGAATAATTTCTAATGATGACCAAGCCCATTTTGCGAAAAAAGTGCATAAATTTATACTGCAAAATTACCAACTAAGTTACTAATCGAAGCAAACATCAAAGCTTTTAACTGTAGGACTAAAGATGATCTTTATTTTGCCATGATGCAAACAATAACAACTGGAGTTTATTACTAGTTAAAACTTCGTTTAGAAAAAAAGAAATAAAAGGAGAAAGATGCCATACAAAAAATAATTTATTTATTTTGTTTACAATATTTACAATGAAAGCAATAAAAAAAATTATGTTTGTTTGGCTCTTTCGTTGAAAATCTTGCTTCTGTCTCCCTGCAACTAGAAAAAGAAAGATGTTAAAGAAGTTGGTCCCAATCAGTAAGTTAGCTATTTTTAATAATCGTTTAAAAAATTCATAACATAGATATTTAATTTTTTTTGTTTTGATTCTATAATAACAAAATCGAAGTTTCAAACTAATACTATCCACTATTAAACAGAGCAATAAAGTTTTCAATATTTATTATATAATTTGCTTTTATATGAAAACACTAAAAGGATTTGCATTTTTAAATAGCTACTCTCCAAGCGGGGAAAAATTTCAATGATTGCGTCTGAAAAAATTTTCCATTCTATCAAAATGTTGTATTTTAATCATAAAATTGCAGAAACAATTTTGAGAGTTGTCCAAAAGAAACCCAACTATTAAAAACTGAATTAAAGAAAAAGGAAAGGAGGGAGTTTGCTGCTTTCACAGTTTGTACAGTTTGGTGCTTTTTGCTTCAAAACTTGAAATTAGTTACAAGATTCGTCAACAGATGACGCTGCTCACTAGAAAATTTTTGTTAAATGTAAATAATTGCTTGTGGTATTCATGTATATTTTTATTTTAACGATTTCAGGTCTTACTCCCCCCCAAGAGTACGTACATTTTATTAGTCTACCCCCCTTTTTCCTAAAAGTTAAAATAATTATGTTTTAAATAAAATTAAATATTTATTTAAAATAATTCATTCATTTAAATTATTTAAACAATAGCACCCAACTTTATTTTGTGAATCAATAAATAAAACAATCTTATCTGATCAACATAATAATTTCCTACTATCAATACAATTCATCTACAGTATGTATTGATAGTAGGAAAAGGATGACATTCCAAATTCCAAGGACATTCCAAATGCTTCTCGAGAGACACCAATTCAGCGTTACTCTTGTCTGCGACTGATGAAAAATTTAGATTATCTTCATCAACGAAATCATCGTCGATCCACTCTGCATCATCTTCGTTTTCCTGGTTTCGGAGGATAACCAAAAGTACTAGTTTTTGAGAACTGATTTACTCATTCTAACAAGTGGTCGCCGTGTGAAGAAAAAATAAAAGAACAAACATATGTATAATACATGTGTAGGAAAATGTCACATTTAAATTTGGTGTATGCTTATAATATACGTACTTTGTATAATACCTCCCCATCGAACAAAACCGTACAAAATAGCAAATCCCCCCCCCCTTCAGGATGTACGTACTTTTTGAACGGCCCCTTAAGAATTGCTAGGAAATTATCAAATGTTTGTGATTTAAACGATCAATGCTTTTTTTACATCCTCCAAGAAATAAAGTACAGAGTGAAAAATAAACAACGGACCACCCTGAATAACTTTTAATCTAATGATCGGATCTTCATGTTCTAGGTCTTAATGGTTTGAGAAGGGGGCAGCAAATGTGTTTAAATTATGCAGACCATATTTTAAGTTACGAAATCAGTCCCAAAATCGTACTATATAGTACCTGTGAAATTGAATTTTAAAAAAGACAAATATTTAAAATTCCACTTTTCAGGAACTACTCGACCGATTGCATCAGACGTAGATCTTAGTATAGCAACGCTCGGCCACAGAGGCATTCTCATTGCCAACGTAAACGGACAGGCGATGGATTAGCACCAATCTGATCCGAAACATTTTTTGCGATTGAACGTTGTTTCTTTATTTAACTATCGTTAAAAAGAGTTGCTGGAAATCGCTACAAACTACTGTTTTTTTGTTGTATCATTCAACTTCTTTTAAAAACACTAAAAAAATACGGAAAAAATAGCGAGTACAGTAGTTTTAATACTTGTAGCGCGGTACTGCTGACCACTGGTTAATTTCCTTGTTTTTATTGCGGCTTATTAAATGTGGAAAGAAAGTTGCTATCCCTTCTTACGCAGGTGACATAATAGAATATAGAATAATAAATTAATATTAATTGTTACACCCCCAAACAAATCTTTAAATCCCCCTGCTAATGTTCACTTACCCGCATCGAAATCCCCAACCAACGCGATCCATCTATTTTTAGGTTTCCCATTTTGAAAAATATTTAAGATGTTCATAACCAATTTCATTAAAGTCATTTTACCATATAATTTAATTAAAAGCGCGGCATAAGCATAATGTTCAGCTTGAAGTTAATATTCCAATTGAGAAAATTTGGAAATAATTTCATTTATCTCTTTAATTAAATAAGCAGTGTTCGAGGCACGCGAAATCACTTCCGTATCATACGAGAGAATAGAATTTCTTGCTTTTTCAAAGAAAGAACACTTAAAGAACAATGAAAAAATATTGGTATATGAATAAAATAAAAAACACGTATCAATATTCTTGTAAGAAAGAGATTATAATTCTAGAGAAAATACTCTATTAAATTTAATGATCAAATATGAATAGTCTATTTAAACTTTAGACTTGAAGTAATTTTCGGAATCAAATTACTTCCAACATGTTAAGTACCATATAAAAACACGTAATCTTACGAAATTTTATTCTGAAAAACAAGCTTATTTAAAAGTTTCTATAGAGAAGTTTTAATTTTTCAATGAAAAAAAATTATTACTTATAAACTAAAAAACGTAAAATAAGAAATGCTTATAGTTAAAAAAATTCCCGAAAAGTTCCTCATATTGAAATGAAAGATTTTCATATTGAGTTAATTTTTATCTCCTAAAGTTTTTACTTAGACCTAGAAAAGCATTTTGCATAGAACTGCCATCAAATTAAATAATTACAAGTAAACTTTTTATTAAAAAATCATAACATTTACCTGCTTTATAAGTCCGGAGAATCCCGTAATAGAATGTTCCTTGATTTTAAACTTTTAGTCTCAAACATATACGTTGATTATCACTTCATAACTTTAAAATGACTATAAAATTTTACAAATGTAAG